TAGCTTCACTCTGAGCGCTTAAGCTGATATTAGCAAATACAAACCCTAAACAACATTACAAAGGGAAAGCCTAAATGGAAGCCAGCATGATTAAATCAATTTAAAGAAGCTGATCAGAAATAAGATAAATATTCTTAAACTTGCTGAAGCTGCATCCACATGAAGACAATAAAATGACCCCTGGTAAATTACCTGGCAACAATGTAAGACAAACAACGAAGACACCAGTCTTTGGCCCCTTGCTCCTCTACGCTGAGGAATGACATCTGCACTTACATACATTCCTTTCTTCAAAGGCACCGGGAGCAGGAATTTAACACTAGAAAATGTTTGACCCGTAGCCAGTCAAATTGAGAGTGAGTATTCAAAGGAAATAAGCTGATAGAAAAGTGAAGAAACTCTGCATCCACCTTGGCTGAGGAGGAGCTTTGGTGGATCCCCAGGCTAGACAATCTCTTTTGCAAACACTTGGAGACATCTGTCCTACCAATGCAGAAGTGCAAATGAGTATTAAGACAAAGGAGATGACATTTTCAGTCAAAGTAAATCAGGTATGAAACTCAAACTTTTCACTGCAGCATGTCATCTGCTGCTTAGACTCACCTTTGCTACCTCTACTTTTCACCAGAAGACTAGAAGAAGCAAAAATGCTGGCTTTTAAAGAGGTTGTCAGAGGCAAAGAGACTACAGACAAGTAGATCTACTATGCAGTGTGGGCAGATACTCACAAAAGCTGTAATAAACAGCAGACCTGGTTGATGTATGGACAAATTATGTCACAAGGAGACTGAATCCAACTTTTGCACAGGAAAATCACACCTCAGAAGTACAGTTTCTGGAGGAGTCAACAATATACGGGTGTTGGACACCCCCTGGTCAGCTGAGAAGGGTCTTCATCAAAGCTGCAGAGGACAAGCTGCCATAGGCTGGGGAGGAAGATCCTCGCTTGGATAAATGAGTGGCTGAGAGAGAAAGGGAGGAAGATCATCCAGGGAGCTCATTGTGCCAACAGACATCTTGTAATCCATCTCATCTGCATGCAGCAGGTGCCAAAAGTGGCAGATGCAGCATGAGAAGAAGTTAGAAGAAGACTGGGGAAAAGGACAAGGCACCATGTAAATCTGAGGTGTACCCACACCTTCTTGGATGAGTGGAGGTCCAGATCTGGTCACCCAGCCCCAGCAGGGACATGGCCTAAGCAGGGGAGGGAGAGAGAAGGTTGAGAGGCACAGCTCAGAGAGCAAGGAGACTTGTTAAAGATTTCAGATCTGGACCAGCATGAAGAAGATGAATAGAGAAGACAGTCTCACATCACCAGCAAGTACTGCAGCCATCAGCTGTGAGTCTCCAAATTGCTCCTCACACATCAAAGGCTGGTCCAGCACCTCCCTTGCCCCTCTGCTCTCTCCAACAGCTGGTTGGGACCCAGGTGCCTGGGCTGATCTCTGCTGCACCAACCCAGTCCTTGCCAGCCCATCTCACCAGTGTGCTCCCACAGTGCCTGGCCAAGGAGCTGCAGGTGAAAGCACTGCAACAAGCGAAAGGGATTGCAGAGATGGGCGGTGAAGCTCCTTGCTGCAGGGTACCAGCAGTGCCGAGAAGATGCCTCACCCCAGGAAGCCCTTAGAAACATTCAGGGAAAAAACGTCCCATGTCATTAAATATACAATGACATCTGGCCAGGTTTGCTGGGGCGATAAAAGGGGGCAGGTACAACCCTCTTTTCACCCTGTCCCTGAGTGCTTCTCCTTGCCCCTGAACCTGCCTGTTGTTGAAGGCAGGGTGCTGGGAGAGGGGCTGTGTGGTCCGATGAGCATTGGATGAGCAGCAGGTACAGGTACAGGCTTGATGAGAGGGTGGTTTGGGTTTGTGTGGTGTGGTTTTTTTGGTAGCAGGGGAGGGTGCCGCAGGGGTGGCTCCTGTGAGAAGCTGCTAGAAGCTTCCCTGGCTCCAAGCCAGACTTGCCTCTGGCCCAGGCCGAGCCCATCAGTGATGGTGGTAGTGCCTCTGGGAGAACAGATCTAAGAAGGGGAACCTGCAGTGAGTAGGGGGATTGGAATGTGAGAGGAACCCCTCTGCGGATACCGAGGTCAGTGAAGAAGGAGGGGAGGAGGCGATGCCCCTGCAGCCCGTGGCAGCCCATGGAGGGGAGCAGGGGAGCAGACGCCCACCTGCAGCCCAGGGAGGAGCCCACGCCAGAGCGGAGCAGGGGACTAGAGCGGAGTCCTCCTCCCCCTGAGGAGGAAGGAGCGGCAGAGACAAGGTGTGAGGAACCGACCCCAGCCCCCGTCCCCTGTTCCCCTGTGCCGCCGGGGGGAGGAGGGAGAGAGAACCGGGAGTGGGGCTGAGGCGGGAAGGAGGGAGGGCTGGGGGGAAGGTGTTCTAAGGCTGGGTTTACTTCCCATTAGCCTTGTTTTGATTTGATTTGTAGTCAATTAAATTGATTTTGTTTCTTCCCCAAGTTGAGCCTGTCTTTTGCCCGTGACCATAAGTGGGGAGTGATCCCTCCCAGTCCTTGTCTTGACCCATGAGCATTTCTTTATATTTTCTCCTCATCATCCCACCGGGGCTGGAGGGGGAGCAGTAACCTAGTGACTGCATGCTGCTTTGTTGCTGGCTGGGCCTAAACAACGACAGAGGGCTGAGGGACCCTGGGGCGCTGTGGTGGGGACCCCCCATTTGCTCTGCACAGAGGGGACTCACACCCAGAAAAGATCTGAAATTGCAGCCTGTGTGCATCCTGCTCTGGGGCACAGGGAGAACACAGACGGACAAAAGGAGGAGTGCAAAATGTCAGTGGCAAAGAGAAATGATCTCACTGCTGCCTGGCAGGGTGACGCCGGCACACTGCAGGAAGGAAATATTTGGCTGGAACACAATGTGGAGACACCGGGACTCCCCGTCACATAAAGCCCTTGGTGAAGGGTGTTGCGGGCAGTGGGATGTTTTCATCTGCGTCGATACATGTACCAAAAACAAGCCTCGAGGCAAAGCTGTGTGTGGGCCCGGTGCTCTTGGGATCATGGCAAATGCTGAACTGTTCCAGGCTAAACTGCCAGGGAGAATTCCTGCTGGAAATGCTTGGCTCCTTCCAAAGACGGTGGAGATGTTGCTGGGTTGGGAAGTCCCAGTGAGGTCCCTTGACCTGCTGTTGCTGTGAAGTGTCAAGATCAGAATAGGCAGTTTCCCAAATGTATTTTCCCAGTCTGTGGGAGGGGGAAGGAGCACCTGGGAACATCCTGAGGTGCTCAGCTGCTGGGATGACACCTTCCTGGGGCACCTGCTACCATCACGCAGCAGCAAGGCAGATCTCATGCTGAAACGAATGCCTGGGTGACCAGCCAGGCTGGCCAGGGATGGGCAGCATGGAAAAGCCAGGAGAGAGGATTTTGGAGGAAATTCCTTTTCCAAGAGAGGCACAAGCTGCTTCTTACCCTGCCAGACCTCAGTGCCTGCAAGCATTGCCCGAGCCCTGGAGATGAGCATGAGTGAGGTGGCAGGGCTTTGCTGGGGACATGAGTTACTCTGGGCGGGCTGTGGCTTCTCCCAGGTGGATTTGAGGAGCTGAACAGAGCAGGAAGGGGTGGACGGCGTGGGATTTCAGAAATATAAATTCAAAGGAACACAGTCTCTAGAGGCAGATGTCCACCACCACCAGATAATCTGACTCCAGTGGGGTTTTTCTCTGCATAGTGCCCAGGGACCATGCACAGCCCCGCACCAGCTCTCCAGGTTTGGATCCAGAGGATTCAGACACCCACCTTCCGCCTTCCACCAGCCCTGCAGCACCATGGGGCTGAGAGGTCCCAAAGCTGAGTCTTGCCCCTACCTTGGCCCAGCAAGAGCTGGTGGACGAGCGGGGCTCCAGGGGAGCAGAGGGCTGCAATCGCAGCAGGGCGAGCAGAGGTAAGGAGAGTTGGATAGTGGTGGTGGTTGCAGCCCTCCAAACTCCAACCTCAATCTCTGTGGCCAGGTCACACAGCCTTTCTCCACCCAGCCCGTTTTGCCCACAGGATTTCCAGCCTCACTGCATCCCTTGCCTCACCTCTGCCTGGCCATGGTCCTGCCCCATGGGAGGCACCCAGGAGGGAAAATACTGTTGGGTTCCAAAACTGCGCTTACTTGGGTGAGCTCAGCCCAGAATTGCCCCTGGCTCCTCACCATCCACAGACCCCAGGAGGACAAAAGAAGGGACCACACGCCTGAGCACCCCAGGTTCTCCCCAGACAGCTACACCAAGCTCTGGGGTAAGTTTCTGTTTATTTGGCAAAAAGGAGCAACTGCGCTGGAGGAGCAGGAGACCTGTCAGAGCCTTGACCACCGAGGTCGGAAGAGGGATGGCGGAGCAGCAGCCTGGAGCTTCAGAGTGTGGGTCTTGCATCACTCAGCAGGAGCATCCACTAGCTGGCCCACACCTCCTAGAAAACAGCCAGGAGAGGCGGGCTGAGTATTTGAGGTGAGGAGGCCAACAGAGAGGCCCAAGCAGAGCTCTCCATCAGGATCAGTGTGCTCTCTTCCAGTTCTCCCCAGCTCTGTAGGGTGAGCCATCTCCAGCAATGGATTTCTAGCTAACCCCTGCAACTGAATGTGTATCGGTGTGGTGGGAAATCACATGCCAGGGTGGACCAACAACAAACATGTTTTGCATGGTGAGACACCAACCCAGCCTCTGGCTGGTTTTGCCAGTCCACAACTCCAAGGTCCCTTTGGCAAGAGCCGGTGTCCTGGCCCTTACTGCTGGATGAACTCAGCAGCTTTCTCCACCAAACCAGTGGTTTCAGATCAAGCGCCCTTGCCCACTGCTGGGGAGCTGCACCATGGGGGTCCCCGCTGCAGAGCAGCTCCAAAAGGAATGGTCCGACCTGGGTGCAAGCTCCAGCACAGGTTCAAACAACTTGGCCCCCACAGTAATTCAAAGAGTTCATGGTGGCCCTTGCTGGGGCACCAACGGGGGCTAATTTCCAGCTGAGGAAACACTGTGTTGCACAGCAGCAACTCACCTACGCTTCATCGAGGCTGCATTCCTCTGTGAAAATAAAGAGAAAGGGTGAGTCTGGTGCTGTGGTCTGGCTAGTTCCTTTTAGCACCCAAAACAGACAACCCAGGAATGAACTTGAGCAAGGCAAAAGCCACCACGTGCCAATCCAGAGCACCTCTTGCTACCAGCACTTTCTTCTGCCAGCCCAGACCACAAAGTGGTAGCAGTGATGGGCTGAGCTGGTCCCTGCTGGCATGTCCTGGCTCCCCATATTGCCCAAGCCAGCCCAACACAGTGCTGGACAGTGCTCACCCTGGCTGGGCAGCATTGTGATCATCTCGTCAGTGAAGCTCTTCTCCCTTGCACGCTTCTTGAACAGTGCTGTGATTTTGGGGCTCACCTGCTGGGTTCTGCCTAAAGGCAAAGACATGAGTTAGCTCCAGGCTGTGGCCTGTCCCTGCATCTCTGGGGCAGCTGGTGAGTGTGCCCAGGTGAGGACAGGATGGATGACGGTCCCTGAGAGGAGGCTAGAGGCAGTGGTGGAGGTCCTGGAGGGTGGTGGTGGACAGGCACATGAGACACCCCTCCCAGGGGACAAGATGAAGCGGAGGTCCTGGCACCAGCACAGTGTCTCCTCTTTTGGTTCCCAACCCCACCGTTTCTGCCTCCCTCACAGCAGGACCCCAAGCTGTTCACCCCATTTCACCAAGCAACTTACCCAAGGCCATGTACTCCCAGCACAGTGCAGAAGCCTGAGCCCCAGCCTCCCCTGCCAGCCCCAAATCACTGCCCCTTCCCCTGCTGCGCAGGGACGCACAGCAGCCCCAGCCCCGCTCTTGCACCCCTCCCAGGGCAGGAGGGCAGTGGTGAGGCGGGGGATTCTCCCACAGGCCCCCCGACTCCTGGCCTCTTGGGACACTATGAAGCACCCTGACACCTCCCAGCTGTTCCCCCTGGTCAGCCTGCCACTGGCTACGCACTGTAGAGCCTCAGCATGCGTAAGGTCTTCCCGTCCTTCACTCTGGAGACAAAGATAACTGCGTACGTCTTGCCATCAGTATCCACCACCCGCACTGTTTTTTTGCCTCCCTCTGCAAAAGGACATGGAGGACAGCGAAAAATTAATTACGTTGTCCTGAGAACTCCCACACTGCAAAAGGACTGTAAGAGTGTGAATCAGGATGCCAGGGGCCAGGCCCACCCAGGCCCTTTCTTCTGTGTCGTGTTCCCCCCCCCCCCAAAGGGGTTTTTCCTCTTGCTAAGGCTCCTCTGAAAGCCTGGGAGAGCCCACAGATCACAGCAGAGCAGAGGGATGGGAAGGTGAACGCAGGAGGGTCTGGGGATGGTCACTGCAGACAGCGGAGTAGCCTGGCCAGTGTCAGACTAACACTTGGGCTGGGGATGGTGGGAAACCACTCTTGCTTCATCCCTTGGGAGTGTCCATCCACAGCCCCTTTGCAGACTGAACCTGCTTTTCCCAAGGGTTTAAGCTTGGTCTGAATGTGTCCTATCCCAGAGCAGCTTCCTAGAGGGAGGGAGTGTGTGGGGGTCTGCCATGTTGGTGGAACACCAGCCCTGGCACGGAGCAGCCCTGGGATGCAGCTGGCAACCGGCCGCAGAGGGATGTCCCCCCCAGGACCTCAGGAGAGGCAGGCAGGCACTCCCGAGGGCCACGTCCCCAGGGACAACCGGCTGCTTCAGACAGGGATGATAGGAAGTGCCTTTGCTCCGTTCTGGGTGCTGGGCTCTCCTGACTCACCAGAGCTGTAATATTCACCCGGGACACCTGTTTCCTTGTAGATCGACTCCCGTTTCTTACATCCCTCCGGTCTGCAAAACAGTGAAGGACACTCTGGCTGGGATGAAGTGACTCCCCTTCCCCTGGGGATGCTGGCTCTGGGGTCGCTACCCCAAACGTGGGACTTGCTGTTCAGGGATGGGTTGGTGTGGCCAGGGTGGGGGGGGACAGATGCCTCCCTTGGAGCAATGAGTGCCTGGGCTGGTAGGGCACAGTGCTGGCACCCAAGGATTGTCCTGTGGGGTCACAGCCATTCCCTTGCTCATGCTCTAAGCTTCTGGGATGAGGCTGGTCCTGCTGGGAAAGCTTTAATCGTAGGGTCCCTTATCACCCTGCTGCATCCCTGCTGGGAACAGTAGAGTGTCTCAGCATCTGTGGTGGGACCACTCCTGGCTGGTGCTGCCCTGAGCCTGCCTGGCCTGCCCTGAGGAAGGGGTCTCCACGATGCAGCTCTCCTGAGCCCCTGTTTTAAACCCTGGGGCTGGTGGTCTTGCCTCACTCCCTGCCCAGGTCTTTGGTGGGTGCTGGCTGGAGGCACCCAGGTGGAGACCCACCGGTGAAGGTCCACGGAGGAGGTCGGTCAGTGAAGCCTGTGGAGAAACGCGCTTGGCACTTACGTGGGAATTGCAAAGGAGACCTTCACGTCACCCTCCCTCAGGACTGTGATGCTGGCCATTGCCATCTTCAGCTCATCCTTCTTTTGGAGGTAGCCCTCGGAGTCGGAGGCCAGAGCAATAATGTGCCATTTCCCTGCAATCTGGTAGCAAGGGTGGGCTGTGAGTCTGGAGGAGCAGGCAGGGGCTTCCCCGTCCTCAGGGACTGAGCCAGGACACCCTTAGGCTATGGGACACGTGCATCTCCTCCAGGCACCAAAATCCCCACTGGGGCACCTACGCTGGAGCTGGGTGACTGCCCTCATCTGGGTGTGACAGCAGAGCCAGTGGTGGCTGTGGTGTCCCCTGCTGTCCCCAGTACCAAAACACCTCTCCAGTCCCCACCCTGGTGACCGGAGGCCACGCTCCCACCTTCCCTTCCCAGGGATGCCGCAGATCACCTTGCTCGTGTCCAGCCCCGCAGCCCCCAAGTTCTCAGCCTCCGCACGCAGCAAGCAGAGCAGGGCCAGCCCCAGGCTCAGTCTCACGGTCCTCATCTCGCCGCAGCCTCCTCCAGCTTCACCAGCAGGATGGAAAGCAGTGCCGGTGCTGCAGGCTTTATAGCGTCGTGCTCTCCCTCTCCTCCACCCACCCCCGCGCTGCTGCGTGCTGAGCTGCACGGATAATGCTGCTGGTGTTGGCTTGGGCAAGGTGGTGGTTTTGAAGGGTTGAAGTCACCTCAGGGTAAACAGCCTCCTGTCTTGCGGAAGAAGGGAAGTGCCTGCAAGCTCCAAGAAGGGGCTGAGAAGCGGGGTTGCAGGAGCTGTTGCACCAGTGCTGAAATTTAGGATTTTCCCGGTTTCCTTAGTTGCTCGTGAAAGAACAAAGAGCGCTTTTGTTTCCCAGCTGGCTGCCAGAGGGCTGCCGGGAGGAGTGGGGAGGTCCTTCCTGGCATGGGCTATGGCAGCACCGTCACCCCGTGACCCGTCATGAAGGGGCTCAGTGACCCATCCCTCTGGCCAGGCTGGCATCTGCCCCGAGGCTGCCGCTGGGACTGTGCCCACACTTAGGCGTCTGCACGTTGCCAGCATGACCTGACCCCACAGGGGTCACCCACCTGCTGTGGGGCACACAGGGTCCACAAAGTGGGGTGCACCCATAGCAGGGCAGGCAGAAGAAGGGGTTTGTGTCACTGTGGGAGTGTGTCCCCTCCTTCCCAGGGTGTGATGTCTCCTGTACCCTGGATCTGGCAGGCTCCTGGGGTCACAGCCCCAAAAGGGTCCGTAATGCTTACTCACAGCCCTGTGCCTGGCTAGGCACCAAGGGACCCCCACTCCAGGGCAGGGGGGCAGTGAGGGGGATAAGGGGCTGCCTCCACTCTACAGGAGGTGGAGGCAGATGGATGCTGCCCTTGGGACTCATGGCAGCATGGTCCTGCCTTGGTCAGTGGGCAGATGGGGGGGACAAAGGGGGATGGGAGACAGGCATGGGGGTCCCAGTCCTGCCGTGCATTTACCCTGGGCAGTCATGGCACAGTGCCACTCCTGCCTGGGTGGCCCTGGAGGGGGACTGAGCAAAGAACGGGGTGTCCTGGGGACGAGCTGCCTGCTGGGAGTCAGAGCCCATGCAGGCAGGGCTGGGCAACCCAGACCTGCTCCCCACGAGCCAAGGTGCATAAACCCCTGTTCATCCCAGCTCGATTCTCCCCTGCCCACATCCCTACCAGCTACCCCACTGCACCTTCTTCATCCTCTGCTCCCCATCCTCCCCATGCTGGGCGCAGCAAATAACACCACAATGGAGCCCCCCAACGCCCCTGGGGTGCTGAGAGAAAGGGTCAGATCCAGGACCGCTGGGTCAGGGTGCCTGGGGACCCTAGCAGCACCCCTGCTCCTGCCAACAAAAGCACCGAGCTCTGGTGCAGCTTCTGCACCTATTTATTTAGGAGGGTGAGGCATGATCCTGGTGCAGGGCAGTGGGTCCGGCAGAGCCTGGCTGGGGAGGACGAGACGGGGCGCCACAGAGGTGGGAGCAGAGCCCTGTTTCCACCAGGTCTGGAGGACAGATGGCCCTGGTGTTGGCCCCTACAGCTGCAGGGAGGCAGGACAGATGGACAAGCAGTTAGAGCAGGGGAAAGGCAATGTGATGCAGAGCCCCGAGGCAGGTGGGGGCCTCCCTGGGGTGCTGCGAGTCCCTGCTTAGCCGAGGCCATGCCAGGAGAGAGACCCGGCTTCCTCCAGCCACACTCACCTGATGGCCTAGGTGCACTGATCTGTTGAAAAGCAAAGAGAGGGGTGAGCATACATACCATGTGCAGTGCCCTGAGTCCCCACGCAGCGTGCCCATGCAGAAGGGCTGTGCATGTCACCCCGTGCCCTCCTGGCACTCACCTGACTTGGGCAGGATGGCCAGCATGTCCTTGGTCAGGCCCACGGTGGGGATGAGCTCTTTGAACTTCTGCAGGAGCTGGGGGCTCATGTTCTGCTCCCTCGCTGCAGCCAGACACCCAAAGCGGGGGCTAGTGAGTGTGAGGGGACCTAGCAGCGAGCCCCACACCAGGGGTCCAGCTCCCACAGGGCAGTGATAGGACCCCAGGGAAGGGCAAAGGCAAAGCCATGGGCGTGGAGGGTGGACACTGGGCAACCCACAGCTGCCCTGGGCTGGCAGCAAAGGGGCACAAGCCCCTTGGGATGAGTGACCCACCCACCTGGGGTGGTGTGGGGCAGCTGATGGGGCTGGGGGCCTGCAGCTGGACTGGGGATGAACCAGGGATATTTTTGGTGCAAGGATTCATTCACCCCAAAATTAATTCCCTGGGTGCCAGGACATTGGGTGCTGACATTGGCGTCCCTGGGAGGTGGTGGGGACCCCAGCCCCTGTCCCCTGCTGGTGCCCGTATCCCTCCCCAGGGAGCCGTGGGTGCCCGTCCCCAGTCCTGACACCCACTGAGGAGCTGCAGTGCGGTGCTGGGCTCCTGCCTACTCTGCTGGAGCTCGTGCACGATGGCGTAGCAGCTGTAGTCCGTCTCCATCACACGCAGGTCTCTCTTCTCTAGTGCTGCTAAAGGACCCCAGACAGTGCCCGGTTGGGCAACATGGCACAGCCTGAGCACCTTGGTGGCCCATGCTGGGGCTCACGGCTCAGGGCCTGAGCCCCAGATTTGCCTGAGGTGGGTATGAGAAAGGAACCCCTGTGCGATCTGGCAGAGCCGCAGCATGACCTCTTGCTGAGCAATGGAGGAAGAGGGGCCAAACCCGCCTCCCACTGCTCCCTGGGCATGGGGGACCAGTGATACCCACCCTCCATTTCAGGGTGTCCATGGGTCCGTTCCCCCCATCCACACATACCCATGTAGTGCCCTGCCTGCCCGCTTCGCTGGAAGAGCAGCTCAAACTTTTGGCATCTGTCCAGCCTAAAGAGGGAAAATAGAAACACCAAACATGACTGGACGCCACGTGGGAGGCCAGCGGGGCGGTGGGGCAGGGGGGAGCCCAGCCCACCCAGGGGATGTGCCAGGGCACAGGCAGGACCAGGCGCTGGCAGGGCAGCAGGTCCGTGGGAGGGTGTTCCCTTGGTGGGGAGGGGAGTCCTCTTGCCCAACTGGGACAAGGCGAGCATGATGGGCACTCACAGGGGCCAGACAAGCTTCATAGCCAGGTCCCCCTCCGGCGTGAAGCTGATGGTGGCGATGGACGACTTCATCCTGTCCTTCATCTTCAGGAACACAGAGCAGTTGGAAACGGCAGCTGCGACATGCCACATCCCTGCAAACTGCAGCAGGACATCACTAGTGGGGTTTGGGGAAAGCCATGGGGACCTGCCACCTGCCAGGGGGACCTGCCACCCACCATAGAGGACCTGCCAGCCTGCAGTGGGGGACCTGCCACCTTCTGTGGGAACTTGCTACCCTCTGTGGGGACCTGCCAGCCTATGGTGGGGAACCTGCCACCCACCACGGGGGACCTGACAGACCATTGTAGGAACCTGCCAGCCAGCAGTGGGGGAACTGCCACCCTCTGTGGGGACCAGCCAGCCTAACATGGGGACCTGCCACCCACCTGTGTGCAGGACACCCTGCCCCGCCCCGTGCCAGGAGGGCAGGCGCAGGGTCTGGCCCATGTTCGCTGGGGAAGCACTGCACAGTTGGGGGCATCATGGCCCCGGGTGTTCGTGTCCCTGCAGCAGGGCCACCACTGGGTCTGGCCACAGTGGGCAGGAGCTGGCCAGGACTAACCCAGTTTTGCGCAGGCATTCATGCTCTCACGGAAGCTGCCCAGGGTGCCTGGGGGTGCCCAGCCGTGCCCGGGGATGCAGCATGGGCACCCTGCCCCAGCCAGCCCCTCCAGCCCATGCAGGACCAGCCGGGAGGGCACCCTGTGCCATTACCTTTTCGATGTTGAAGCCCGGCTGCACAGGGACCTCGGCCCCTGCCTGCAGCAGGCAGAGCAGAGCCAGCGCCAGGCTCAGCAGCACCGCCGTCATCCTTGCTCCGGGGGCTAGATGCAGGCAGGAGAAGCTGCACAGACCTGCCTCTTCCTGCACCCACTTTTATAGCCCCCACCACTGGCAACAACCCCTGCCCGCCCTGGCTTTATGCAACAGGTTACACAAGAGAAGGAATAATTGTACCCGTGTTAGGTGACAGCGTTGGCCCCTTCCCCCTTTAATTGCCCAGTCCCAGATGAATGCAGCCTTGTGTGAGACCCAGCCTGGAGCACGTTGGGGACCAGGCGATGCCCCATGCCCGGTGCCATGTTGGGGGAAGGGAATAAAGTTGCCCCAGTGCCCCCCTCCTTGCTGTTGCCCACTGGCCCCAGGGTCTGACAGGGCTGGGATGGATCCTGCCTCAAGGAGGAGGACAGCTGGGCCAGTGTTTTAGCCCAGGGTTGAGCCACAGCCTGGTGCCCCCCAGAAGGGGTTGTGCCTTCCCAGGCTGCTGGCAGCAGGCACAGCCCCTGCTCCCAGAGATGGTCTGGGCTCATGGTGTGGAGAGCAGGCAGGCAGCGAGGGCTGAGCCATGTCCAGCACTCACTGCCATCACTCTGGTTCACGTCCATCCTTCCCAAAATTTTTGGAGACACCCCCCCTGCAATTGCCCATCACCCCATCCCCACGCTGCCAGCCTGCTCCTCAGCAGGGAAACTGAGTCTGTGAGGCTGGGGTAGCCCAAGGTGCTGGACGGGGCAGATGGGAGCAGATCCCGCCAGCAAATCCCAGCCCCAGGGTTCCCTTCTCCCTGGATGGGGCAGGTTTGGTGGCCAGGCGGCACCATGGCATGGGGTTGCAAGTGCACAGGGGGTCCCACCCTGGCGGCCCCATAGCCAGGAACTGAGATCAGCCCTGACCTCTGGCACCAGCCCCAGCCTGGCCCACTGCCACCAGACGTGCTTCCCCCTCCCCATCACCCTATTGGGGCTCCCCCCCGCGATGACCCAGCAGACAAGGGCAGGGGGCTGGTTTTATACGGGCTTTAATGGGGACAGGGATACAGGTGTGGGGTGTGAAGGCAGGGAGCAAAGGCTGCTGCGGTGCTGGGGATGCGCTGGGGACAGGACGAGACAGGACAGCCACCAGCTCACGGTGCTCTCGGGGCTCTGGCTGGCAGCAGCTGGTGGGTCTGCCTGGAAGAGATGGAGGGGCGAGGGCGGCTGAGCTGGGGAGATGGGGGAGGACATCAGCCCTGCCAGCCCTGCACTGAGTGGGTGGGCACCCACCACCCAGGGCCTCAGGCAACGAAAGAGCCACCCTATGGGGACAGGCTGGGGGATCCCCGCCAGGGGTAAGGGGGACCCCAGCAAGAGGAGCAGCCTGGGGTGGCCGGGAAGGGGATGGGGACTCTGTGGGGTGGAGCGGCTCTGAGCACCCCCCGTACCCTCTCGCAGGGCTGGTCTGAGCCCCAGCAAAGGCAGGACTCACCTAGGCAGCATCTGCCATGCATTTGTCTGCAGGAGGAAGAAAAGCGGTGATCAGCTCCTCCAGGGGCTGGGGGACCACTGCCCCTCCCCCCCCAGGGACCCTACATGGGGTCACCCCATTGCTGGCCCTGTGCTGGCCCCACAGGGAGGCAGGGATAAGCCAGGAGGGTCTCCTCCCTCTCAGCCCCCCATGGTACCTCACCCCCTGCTCCCCAGTGCCCCCCCCGTGCCCCCAGCCTCTCCCACTGCCTGTGCTCACCCGTCCGAGGCAGGATGAGGATCTCTTCATCCGTCAGGCCCTGCTCCCTGGAGAACTGGGTGAACCTCTCCAGGCGCTCGGGACTGAGTTCCATCGTCCGGCCTGCAGCCAAGAGCAGGGTGAGAGGCAGCCCCCCCCACTGCACCCCTCAGTGAGGGGTCACGCTGCCCTGGGGCATGGGCAGCCCATCAAGGGACAGGTTCCCCAGGAAGGGGGTCCTGACCCAGCCATCCCATGGGTCACCCCAGCTTGGGAGATGCTGCTGCCCTTCTTCCATAGGAGAGATCCCCCACAGAGCACATCCCGGAGGGTCCCAGGGTGGTGGTGGGGTGGGTGGCACAGGGGTCCTGGGGCAGACGTACTGTAGAGCAGCACCATGGTGGAGGAGCCGGTGCTCTTGGAGATCTGGGTGGCCACCAAGGCATACTCCTCGTAGTTGGTCTCCACCACACGGATGTCGTGCTTGCTGCCCCAGCCTGTGGGAGACAGGGAGGGCACTGCTCAGCCCCGGGCACCGAGCCAGCCCTGAGGTGCTCTGGCGAGCGTAGGAGCAGGGATACACAACAGCAAGGATGGGCTGAGAGCTGTGGGCACATCAGGAGCTGCCCCGCAGGAGGATGGGCTGGGAGCCGGGCACTCACGTGGGCTGCTGTAGCTGAACCGCCCCGGCTGCTCCGTCTTAATGTAAAGGCTGTTCCTCTTCTCGCACTGGTCACCCCTGCAGCACGAGGACATCAGAGGGGCTGGGGGGGATGCTCCAGCCCACACATAGCCCCAGGCATGGCACCATGGGGGAGCACCCCCTGCTTGCCCACCCCATCCCCATGCCCGTACTTGGGGTAGGTGGAGGTGACCTCCAGGTTCCCATCTGCAGTGACGGAGATGACTGTGGTGCACATCTTCATCAGGTGCTTCTTCTCCTTGAACCAGTTGGAGTTGGACGCCAGGCCGATGCTGTACCATCTCCCCGTGAGCTGCACACAACCTCCACTCAGTCGCCAGCCAGGCACAGACCCCATCTCGCCCCTTGGCCACCTGCCAGCCCCAGGCCAGGCCACTTCCCCCTCTCCTGACAGCCTGCACTCCATGGCAGGATGGCATCCTGGGGTCCTCATCCCCCAGGGAACTACTACAGCTCTCAGCATCCACAAAACCCAGTGTCCAGGAGAGCCCTGGTTTACAACATGCCCTTTGCTGCCTGGCACTTGGGGTATTTCCTTCCTCTTCGCCCCAAGCCCGCGGAGGGGTGACAGGACTGCCTGGCTCTGAGATGCCATTTCCATCCATCTGCAGGCACGAGGAGGCGTCAGGACCCTGGGGCCAGCAGAGCTCATCCCAGCCCGGTCCCTGGGGCTACCCAGCTTGGCGCACCCAGAGGGGAACTGTTGGCCTTGGAGATGGGCTGTGCTGGGACCACCCTTGCAGACCATGCCAGACCTCCATCCTTGCACAACATGCCTCCATCCCCATCACCTCCCTGGGGTGACTGTGTCCCCCAGGACCCCTCTGGGGGCTCCCTGGAGGACCAGGCAGCATGGCCCCTGCCCTGGCTCAGTGGGACCCCAGTGCTGTGGGGCCAGGCCCCCCAACGTGCAGCCAGGCTGGGCCTGTCCTGCTCTGGGTCCTGCCCATCATGGGGGGAGGAAGGGGAGTGCAAGCACCCCGAGCCTGCCAGCACCCAGGGGCTGGGAGGGCAGAGGGGTGTGGGGGACACCCCAGCACAGCAGCCCTTGTTTTTTTGGGACTCTGGGTTGGAGGGGTGGGATCCGTGTTGGGGAGGGGGGTCCATGGCCCATCTTCGCGCTGCCTGCCAATCTGAGCTTGCTTTTCTCAGTCCCCCCTATAAAATCCCTCTGCAGCTATACCCACAGCACAGGAGATGGCGTGGCTCCACACCTACTCGGTCCTGCCCCACAGACTGGAGCCTGGACCCTGCACCCCCTCCAGAGCCACTAAACCCAGGCCCCGGGGGCTCCCCAGGGACAGGGGGCTGCGGGTGCACCCGCCACCCTGCCCCTCCCAGTGCCAGGGCCAGCCTGGTCCCAAATCCACCTGCAACACCATCTCCGCACATTTTCAGGGTGAGGAACCCCCGAAAGACCCCAAACCCCCACGGAGGTGATGCCGGCCGGGCTGGGTCACCTTGTCCTGCTGGAAGTCGGTTTGCACGGGAACGCTGTCCTGTGCATGCAGTGCCCCGAGCAGGACCAGCCCCAGGACTCCGAGCAGCGTGGCGTGCATGTCTCTCGCCGAGCCAAGCTGAGCCGAGCCGAGCGAGAAGAGCAGGCAGAATGCTGCAGTGCCGGAGAGTCAGGCAAGCCCCTATTTATGGGCAGGCTGTGTGGTGGCCCCAGGGGGGGCCAGCCCTGCCTCCCCCCCCTTGCCGTTATGCAAGCAGGGGCGAGCGCCGAAGCCAAAGGGCAGGCAGGGGAACCTGCAAATGTTTCCCTCCTGTTGATATGACATGTTTGCTTTGGGGTGCCAAACTGCTCTGCAGCAAAAATACAGCTTGCAGCCAGCGCGGCAGCCGTCCCTGCCCCCAGCGCTGCAGAGCCAGGGGCCAATGCAGGCAGCTGGGGCTGCCCACAGGCATGGGCAGGGGGCCAGGACTAGGGGCCAGGGCTTGCTGGCTGCCCCATCCTTGCAGGATGGTATCACTCAGACTCAGAGAGGGGCCCAGATGAGGTGGAGGGAATGTCAAGTGCCTGCCAGGTCCTGGCCCAACCCATGGGACTCATGGGCACCTTTGGGTGCTCCTGCAGGACCCCCTGCCTTGCCCTGACCCAAGTCCCTGCATCACCCAAGGAAGCATCTCAGCTGGCCCCGCCACCCGTCCGGGTGTGTCCCACCACGGTGCAGCTCTGGTGCACGCCGATGGCGAGCTGGGGGGCTGGGGGTGTTGGGAGGAAGCCAGACCCCAGCTTCAGGCAGCCCCGATGCCCAGCTCCCTGGGGACCAGCACGCAGCCAGATGGACACCCAGTGCTTCATCCACCCCATGCCACCTTAAGCCCTTTGCCAAGAGGGGCTGGGAGACATCCTCTCCCTTGGTTTGGTGTCACCAGCAGATGCCGAGCTGCCCCCCCTTAATTTGGGGACACCCTGAGCACCCACAGGTTAAGGGCTGGGGATGAACACTGGGTGTTAGCAGCAGCACCCGTGAGTCTGGCACAGGTTGGGCAGGGCTGGCGGTGCCGGGCAGAGCATCAGCCCGGCGGCTCTCCCTGTGGCACGGCCCTGCCAAGGAACTTTATGTAAGGAGCATGTTTTCGCAACAGCTGGTTTTTTCCTCTGGCAGCCCACCGTGCCCGCCCACCCCAGCACATTCCCTTCCCTGCACCCAGCTGCGAGCCTGGCCTGCCCCTGCACACCACACGCCAGGGGCCAGGCCGGCCCCAGCTCTGCGGATTTATGAAAACAAAACAAAAGCTGAGCTGGGCAGGACCAAGCATCACGAGAGCCTGGCTGGGGCCCCTACGCACGCTGGGCTGCGGGCTCAGCCTCTGTCTGAGCCCACCCTTGAGGTGCAGGGTGCCAGGAGGAGCTCTCTCCATCGGGCATCAGAGGCACAGAGCACCCATGGGTGTTCCTGTGGTTTTGTGCTGGGGCAGGGACACAAAGCCCCCCTGCTACCCGGGTATCCCTGGCTCCCTGCCCTGCCCTGCCCAGCAGCAGGATGGGCTGCCCAGGTGGTGCCCACTCTCCCAGCTCTTCTGGGGGTGGCAAAGCTGGGGGCCGGCCCAAGGAGCTGGGTGACAAAGCTGGAGCATGGAGGCATGTGGGGGCACACATGGGCACCACCGGTAGCGTGGGGCAGGCTGAGCCCACTGCTGGGGCTGGGGGGCATGGGGATGACGGAGGTACCTGGGCTGTGGATCACCGTGGTGCCTGGACGCAGACCCTTAGGCACAACCCGGGCGTTTGCACCCCAGAAATGGGTTCACACCAGATAAACGCGGGCTGGGCTGAGCCAGGCTCCAGGGCACAAGGGGGGTCTTTGGGGACCAGCCCAGCTCCCCAGGGCAGGGAGGCAAGTCTCCCCTCGCCTCCCATCGCCCTGCCACAGCCCCACCATAGTGCAGCCACTTCTGGGGTGCAGGTGGGTGCAGGGCAGAAAGTGAGCTGGATCCATAACACCCCGACTCTGCCAGGCTCAACCAGGCGGCCTGGAGGGCCTGCGAGCGTGGCCAGACATGACTGCCCCACATGTGGGCAGCGGGGACAGGGGCTGGCTTCGGGCAAGTCACGTGGCAGAGCCTTACATAAGTCCCTGATAAACAACATGTGTTACCAGTTTCCACTAAGATTGCAAAATGCTGGCGCTGGGGGCAGAGGGCTGCTCACCGCCCCAGGGGCTGCGGGGTGGCCAGGGCACCGCAGCAGCCTGCTGCTGGGGGCTGCTCCCCATCCCCTCCCACCACCCAGCCTGCGCTGGGGAATTGGCACCACTCACCCAAAACATCCTGGCCCAGGCGCGTGGCAGGACAGCCTCAGCCAGGCTGGACACGCAGGGGAGAGTGGTCCTGCAAGGCGCTGCAGCCCCTCTCCCTTGGTTGCACCCCTGGTCCAAGCCCCCATAGCCCCCGCAGCATGCTCGGAGCGTGCAAAGGACATCCCCTGCCTGGCTTTCCAGCTGGGTGCTGGCTGTACAGGCAGGCTTTGGGAAGCCCTTACAGGCAGGGGTCTGGCCCAGGCAGCAGCCCTTTGCGGAATGCAGTCCGCAGGGCTAGGACAGGGGAACAGGGTGTTTCACTGCCTCAGAGGCCCTGGGGACCAGCAGGACCACTGGGGGCCAAGGCTTCCTCCTCTGGGGTCCCTGAGGGATCTCCTGGTTTGTCCTGGGGGAAGGGCTGATGCTGCACCGGTCCCCAGCACCCCCCAAACCCATGCGGCCCCACAGCACCAGGCACAGTGCTTTTCCCCACACTGTGCTGGGCACTCAGGGCTTTCTCTCACTCACCAGGCAAACTCACGTGCACTACAGCACCCAAGAGTGAATCGGGAACTGCCCCCATGGTTGGGTTGAGGCTCAGGGAGAGGATGATGGAGCTGCGTGGTGGGGGCTGCATGGCCCCCCCAGGACCCCCCCCGGCACGCCCTGGGCTGGGAGCATGGTGCCAGGGCACCAGCAGTCCAGGGGTGGAGGCAGCGCTGGCCTTGCTCGGGCAGATCAAGGGGTGACAGACCTTTCTCTGAGGCATTTATTGGGGTGTTGCTGGCTGCTGCAGGACACCAGGGCATAGAGCAGAAGGGTGACACAAAGCTGCAGGGGTACAAGACAAGGACAGGCACAGGTGCCAGTGCAGCTGGAGGAGCCCACAAGCTCTGGGGCTGGCTCCAGGGCTGTGGAGCAGCAGCAGGGTCTAGCCAAACCCCAGCTAAGTCCTGCATGGCTATGGATGGCTGGATGAGGCAAGGGCCGAGCTCTGGGGACCTCCTGGCAACACCGTCTGCACCTACAGCTTTGTTTCTGGAAGGGAAAGAGAAGTGCTGAGGGGCTAGGGAGATGTCCAAGCCCAGCACCAGGGCTGGAGACCCACCTCTGCCTCCCTCAGCACCAATGACAAGTGATGGAGCTGTCCCCGGGGACCCCAGCCCTCACCCCAGGGTGTCTCTGTCCCAGGTCACACCATCCCAGACCAGCCCTCACCCCGGCAAACACCAATATAGACCCCACTAAGCCCAGCCTGACCCTTGTAGGGGGCAAATGGGGCTTGGCTTAGCCAGGGTGCACCTGATGCCCATCCTGGGTGATGGTCTGCCACCTCCTCGCCCCACACAAGGGCATGGAGGGACCTGTCCTACATGATGGTCTGGCATGGATCCCTCATGCCAGACCACCTCCCCTGCGCTCCTGGGGCAGGACCACTCGGCTGTGGTGTGGTGTGGGTCCAGCCTGGCATGCCCAGCCCACAGCAAGGGCAAGGAGAGCTGCTGCGGTGCCTGGCCTGGGACTAAGCCCAGCGCATGGTGGGGACCCAGCGCATCACCTGGGATCCACAACTCACCATCAAGGACGTGAAACTCATCCGCAGAGTCACAAAACCCTGCAAAAGAGAGAGCCTGGGTACTCATAACCCCCAGACTGTGCACCCGGGGGACACTGCGGGGCACAGTCCTGTCCTTTCATCTTTGTCCCTGGGGTGGCAGCAGCATGGGGACAGACCCCACACATTGCCCTGCTGTGGGTGACACAGGGCCACAAACTGCTCAAACCCCCTCCCCATGCTGGAGGGCCCCAGCCCCCACTGCCAGGCCCCTCCTGGGTGCAGCCCCCTCCACAGGTGCCCTCTGCTCCCAGGGGACCGTGTGCCACCCACCATATGTGGGGAAGTAGTAGGTCATGTCTTCACTCAGACCCACAGCCCTGACACGTTGCTCAAACTTGTCCATGATGGCATCGCTGACCCGGCTGGTCCGTCCTGCGGGGGGAGGGAGACGCCATCAGCAGCCTCGAGCCCTGCCTGTCCTTGCCCCAAAGCTCCCTGTGCCACCCACAGCAAAGCTCCTGGCCAAGGGCTCTTTCAGCTCAGAAAGCCGGTTCCCAGATCGGCCCCCCCTGCAGCGTTTGAGGACAAAACTCTCCATTTGGGCACCGGGCCCCATGGGGAGACCCCATCCCCTATGTCTGGGTCCTCTGGGGCTCTGGCAGGCAGCCCCAGAGCCCAGCACAGGTTTCCCACCCTGCTGCTGCCCCCGTCCTTCATCTGCCACAAGCCCCCGGGTGCTGACCCACCATAGAGCTTGACGGAGATGCTCTGGCCCTTCTGGTAATAGAGGATGGCGTAGCTGCTGTGGTCTGTCTCGCCCACCACCATGTCCACCTTGCTGCCATAGCCATGGCCTGGGGAAAGACAGTTGTGGCAGAGGGCAGCCCCAGTTAGTCCTAGTTAAGCCCAGTTAGCCCCTGGACCTAATTTCACCAGGAGTGGGGTATACAAGGGGTGAAAATCAGGGCCAGAGTGGGTGCAGCCCCACAGGGTGCCATTCTTCACCAGCTGGTGCCAGCCCATGGTGCTGCCTGTGATGGCATCCAGCACTGGGGTACTTTGAGACCCCAGAGGTGGGATACTGGGAGGGCACTGGGAGGGAGGACACCAGTACCAAAGCCCCGCCAAGAGCAGGAGTGGGGGGCTCCAGCGCTTTGGTCCCTGCAGCCCCCCTGCCACCCCAGCCAGGCCTCCCTCACCCTTCAGGAGGAAGCGTCCGTGGGCCTGGGCAGGGAGGTACCGCTGCTTGATTTCCCAGCACATCCCATCCCTGTATGGGGAGAGGAGGAGGTTGTTGGCACAGGCTGGGGAGGATCCAGCCCAGGTCCCTGCCCGCCCCACTTGCCAGGGCACATATGGGACCTGTTTCCTTGGGACTTTTCTCCCCAGGGAGATGCTGCAAAGGGGTGTCCCAGAGCCCCATGGAGACACAGTGAGAGATGCAGAGCCCAAAAACCTGCTGAGTCTGAGGAGTTCTTGCCCCCTCCCTGCAGCTCTGAGCCTGGCTCAGCCCCTCAGACCCCCCCGGGCCGAGGTAAAGTGCCCAAGGATGTGCTGAAGATCCCCCTCCTCAGCCATGCTGTCGCTGGGGTGGCCTGAGAGCCTGTCCCTGGCTGGGTGGCCATGGACTGACCACGTGCTTGCTCAGTGCCTCAGTTTCCCCAGCCTGGCTGCCCCCCACCCTGCCCAGCCTGGGCAGCCCAAGCCCACCCCAGACTGGTGGCTGTGAGGGTGGCAGAGTGCCAGCCTGCCGTGGCCAGGGCTTCTACCACAAAACATCCTAGAGGAGATCCCACCCACACTTTGCTCCAGGGCAGCTCTATCCTCCTTGGAGCCCATGGCCGGGGCACTGGCCCTGCTCTGACCTGCCTGCAGTGTCCCTGTCCCACCCAGCGTCCCCCGTCCCCATCCCAGGGCACTGGCCCTGCTCTGACCTGCCTGCGGCGTCCCTGTCCCACCCAGGGTCCCCCATCCCAGGGCAACAGCCCTGCTCCGACCTGCCTGCAGCGTCCCCGTCCCTGTCCCTGCCTGCGGCCTCAGTGGCTGACATCACTCACAGCTTCCTGAAGGTGCTGATGGCCAGGCTCTGCCCGTCCGGGACGGTCACTGTCACTGCTGTGGCCTCCAGCTGGTGGCTGTGCTCTGCCAGGTAGCTGCAGCGGGAGGCCATGCTGACCAGGAACCACCTCCCTGCGAGCTGCATGGCACAGGGGTGGCACGGTCTTACCGGGCCACTGCCTCAAGGGGCCACCACCCTGCTGCCCTGGGCACCCACCACCCCAAGCACCCTTCTTTTGTGCTGTCTCCCCTCACCTGGCACCTCTGCCCACAGCCTGGCCCCTTGGTGTGCCAACAGGGCACCACTGCCCTTGTTCGGGAGCTGGTGGGTGGGACAGAGCAGGACAGATAGGAGCCTGGCACAGGGACAGGCTGGAGCAGGGGGGCTGTGGGGAAGGGGTGCCCGAGGCATGTGCCCGTGCCTCACACTGCCAGCCAGGCTGCAAGCACCCCAGTGCAGCCCTGGGTGTGTGGTGTGCAAGCACTCCTCCGCTCCCACGCCCAGACCCCGTGGCCCCAGCTCGGACCACCTGGCAGAGCCCCAAGCTCAACCCCAGCCCTGGCTGGGGGCCATGCCCAGCACCGCGGCAGGGCGCGAGTGCCAAACCCAAGACTGAGAATGGCTGCACCGTCCCCCGGGCTGAGGATAGAGGTGGCTGCAGGAGCTGGGGGGCTGGCTGGACGGCAGCCGGCCAGTTTGGGGGTCCCTGGCAAGGCTTCGGCCCCCGTGCCTGCCTTGTGGGGCAGCTCTGTGGGCAGCGCTCGGGGGCTGAGCTGGGCTCCTGTGGCCCCCACTGTGGCATGGGGTCGCGCCGGGGGGCTCGGGCTGGGGGACAGGCTGCAAGGGCAGGTCTGGGGGATGACGATGCTGCGGGCCAGGGGAATGCTGTGGGGTCAGAGCTGGAGGGGGACACGCAGGGGGACAGGCTGCAGCCCCTGGGGCCCCGAGCGCGAGGCTGTGCCCCCAGCCCCGGTGCGGGGGACGGACGGGTGCCCACAGACCCGCCCGGCCCCGGCCCCTCACCTGGGGGAGGCCGAGCTCCTCCTGAGCCGCCACCTTCTCCAAGGGGCTCTGGGGAGGGGGCGGCCGCCGCCGCCGCGCCGGCCCCTGCCCCAGCCCCGGCGGGGCCGTCAGGAGCAGGCTGAGAAGCAGGAGGGTGCCCAGGGC